CCATGAAAATTATTCTTATATTTTAAATATCCATTGCATCGCCCATGTATTAAATCTAATAGCAGCTGACCTTGTGAGGTTCACAACAACCCTGGTACCTACATTCTAACTGTCTTTTTACCCGAATTCTCTATTGGTCCCTCTCTTACTTCTAGCCGGCAACCCAGATGGGTTGGTCTGCCCAGGCTTTAGGTGCCTGAAGGACGCCCTCCCCTTGGTCCATACTTTCGGAGTGTATGCCCTTTTCCCCGGTGCGTCTAAACCGGCGGTTCGGCTGGTGTGTCCCCCCACTAAAGGACCTGATCGCTCGGTTCACCAATCTTGGGCCCCGGTTCAAATTCAGCCTTCATGTAGTACCGTCAAAGATCACTGCTACCTCCCAACTCGGAACTTCCCAAACGGGCTTCGATCTCCGGTCCTGTGACCCGTGCAATGCACAGCCCACAGATTACAGCCTTCCAGAATTACCTCAACGGTGCCACCCAGGCACCGTCTTGACAGATCCTCCATGGGCCAACCTTGGTGAAGATCGTCGCAGACTTTTCCCATATTACAAAAGCACCGTCCCTGGGATTCGAACATGGGATCTTCACATAATGTTTGGTGAGAGTGACAACTAGACCACTTCACTAAGTCACTACACCCCTTGAGATCATAAACTCATTCAGGACAGAATTAGTATATTTACATAACAATAACGGGTTTAAAGATGTTTATTTATTAATTCAAAAATCTAGGGTCTTTGTGATACTACACAGCCTCATAATGCACATGCAAATAACTTTTTTTAAAAAATAAATTTATAATATAATTAATAATATGAATCTAAATAAAAACATATCTTGTTTGGCATTATGGCCCTATTTGTTAAAAAGTTGTTAATTCATGAATCTTGCAATTTTAATATTGATATTGTTAGATGCACATATATATATTGCTATCTGTTATTAGCAAATTTGATTGGTTTTTGAGTTTGACACTATTGAACAAAATAGAACATATGTTTGGGTTTTAGTTATGACCCGAATTAAGTAGAAATCCCGAATTCCAAACCCAGACTATGTAATAATGTCATAATACAAAAAAGAGGTTTGGGGCACAACTCTATTTGCAGTTCATTAGTTTCATCACCTTTCATTTGAGATTTTAATTGACGAAATACGAAACTAGGTTTCATATTTTGTCAGCACGAAACCTCAAGGTTTCGTTTAACAACTATAGGGCTCAGGTTTTGACTTTCATCATCAAGCAAAAATGGCTTTGTCTAACAACTATAGATGCGCATTTAAGGATCCAATTAAAGTCTCAAATAATAGTAGGATATATGTAGCATGGACACATGTGTATGTAAATATTTTCAATTCTATGAAATGAAAATTTTATATATAACAAGCTATAAAGTGTAAAATTTTATATCAGTTCAGTGTGGAAGCATTAACACTCTAGTTCATTATAAAGAAAGTTGATGCGATTCAAAGAAAGAAACTTTTATTTTTTGCATATCATATGAGTGCATATATTCTGCAGTATGCAAGTGAATATTTTCACGAAGCTTTTTTAATTTATAGTTTCTAAATTATGATAGTACATTTGAATTAAATTTCTTTTGAACTATGTCAACTTTCTTTATAATGAACTAGAGAGTTAACACTTATCACACTGAACTGATATGAGATTTAACCTTACAGCTTGTTATGTATAAAACATTTATTTATAAAATTAACTACATATGACACTAAAGTATAAAATTCATATGTCAAGATATGTTCATATGTCAAGATACGTGAGATTTCATGCAGTTGATTATTATTATATATAAAAAAATATATTAAATTATTAAGAGATCAATTTAATTTTGTAGCAAAATCTTTATAATATTAAAACAATATCTTTACAACATTGTATCAAAATTGTAACAACTTTTTAAACTTTATCATAATGATATAAATACAACTTCTTTACAACATAGATACTATATCACAAATATATTAAAGTAATTTTGTAACAACTTTGATACTTAAATTGTTAAGAAGTTGTAACAAACTTATAATTATATTAAAATAATTTTGAATAAATATTATTATAATTTTGAAATAACTTTGTTACAGTGATACTTAATAAGATAGATATAATTAATATACAATTTTTATACGATATTTACACAATTAAGATACAATATCGAAATAAAGTAGTAACTATAAGGTATGAAAATAAATCGTAAATTCATTGTAACAGCTAAGTAACTATTTCAAAACAACCTAGTAACTATCTTGTTACAAAACTTGAGGTTTCTCTAAAGTATTTATTTATTTATTTATTCTTTTATTCATTTATTTGTTTCCAGGTTTGGATTGAAAGTGTATGATTTGTAAAAGTATCATAGTAGCTATTTATAATGGGTGAGTATAAGTTCTGATTAATAAAATAATTCTTAAGATTATATAAATTATTTAACTAAATTTTACTTAGCTATTTTTAGGCAATCGAACAGGAATTCGTGCATATATACTCGGGCTATGTTGTTCAAAAGATTATTTGTTAAAAAAAAGGAGACATTTTATTAGTAGGTCTACTATCCTATAATTTTATAGCAAATCAATATTATTATGACCGACCAATTAATTCTATAAGTTCAAGTGTTAGACGAATCTAACTATTATTAGATTTACTTGGCCATTTAATTATTGTTAACCTAAGTTTTTTGACAAGTTAATTTAAGAGTAAAATAGTATTGAAGGTTTTTTTATTTTAAAACTTATATACTGTACATTATCGTTAAATGCAGGAATAAGCTAACTTTATTATATCTACAGAAACCTAGTTCTCTGATAAAGTTCTTTCACTAAATTTAACCATTAAAGCAGAGGCTGCTGCTGCGAACTCTAATATTGTTCATGGTTCTATAGCAACTGAGATTTTACTAGTCAAAGATAGGCCTAAACAGGTTAGAAATTATTTTATTGTTAAAATTTTTGGTTAATCAATTATTTAGATTATTATATTTATATAATAGTGGAAAGAAGCATTAAAACTTGCAATGCAAGGAAAACTCTATAGTATTCATGTTTCACTAAGACATATTATAGAACGAAGAATTGTGTCCAAGATAAGTAATCTTTATAAGTATTATCATAAGTTTTATGTTGACACATTCATTTATTCAGGTGCAATATTTACCATCTTTACTATCATCTAATTTTGGGTTAGAAATCTTGATGGGTAAAGATGAAACAATTGATTTTGAAGATTTTTTAGGCAATACATTTCACTATTAAGCTATACAAAATTAATTGTTGATTTCATAACTAGGCCAGTCCAAAATTTGAAATATAAGAAAATTTTTTGTTAAAATTAAAAAAAAAACTGGTCAGCCTGGGTTTGTTTCAAAATTTTCATGACATGAAACCCACGAAATTAACTTCGTATGATATATGTATTTTTGAATTTTTTATATATAATTATTAAATGATTGTTATTATACTTAATTTAAAAGGCATTTAGAAGACCTAATAGATCGTAAGCCAATAGTTATATATACGATATTGGCAAAAAAATTTTTTTTTGAATTTTTCTATTTAGTATTAGTTATCAGGTGCAGATATTTTTGTGCCACTACTTATATGTCAAAAAATCATACCTTACCAATTTAGCTTTGAATCTGGGGTATAATTATATTAAGTTACTACTTTATATTTAGTTATTATCTTTGTTAAATTAAAATTCTAATCTAATGCAGAGGTGTAGCGACTTAGTGAAGTGGTCTAGTTGTTACCCTCACCAAACGTTATGGGAAGATCTCATGTTCAAATCCCAGGGACGGCACTTTTGTAATATGGGAAAAGTCTGC